TATAGTCTTTTAAATGATTTAAGATAGCTGCTACAGTGTAAACCCTTGAAAAGGTGCATATTTTGTACACCCTCCCTACCACAACATACATAATATTACCACAACGTTTCATAATAAACATCACAAGAAGTTGTAATTTTTTTCTCCAAAAAGATTCATAATATTTCTCACCACAAATGGTTAACAGTATTGTTAGTATATGATATGTACATATATGATTCATTTCACCGCAAAAAATTTTAATTTTATTGCATTGTCTCTCTTTTTAAGGTTGCACACCATAGATTTCTTCAAGATTTAAAACATTTACGATTTTAATTGTTTATTTAGAAAATGTGCACATTTGATTTTGTTGTTGAAAACAATTTTCTGTTCTCAAAAAACAAGAAGGAAAAAAAAAGTAAAAAGAAAACTCATTTGATATACTATTTTCAAAATCTTTTTTTGAAAACACCCCCTTTTAGAAAAAGTTTAAAAAAAATAATAATTAAATATTTAATTCTCAAAAATAGGATTTAGAAATAAAATGAGAGCGATGGCTTTTCAAACTTCTTGTTATTATTTTTTTTATAATTATTTTGAGAACATAAAAAAAAAAAAGATAAAACAAATACAAAGAGTGAAAACAAAACAATCTGCAAAAAAGAATCCCATTAAAAGGACATGGGGTTTGTCAGTTATAGAAAGCTACCACATCAAAATTTAACCACTAATAGGAATCACTACATTATAATCCCATAGGCAATATCTTATCTTCACCACTATTTTGTTTATTTGGCCAATAAATAGGAAAATTTTATTGATGAAATCATTGGTCATTACAACCTACAATCCAGAGAAACTTCCATAGTAACCCAACTAGGATTGATTCCCACCCAGGAATAGTAAGACCCCAAAGTTGGGCATACTTGGCTACTCTATGAGCCTTCCTGTTACAATCTCTAGAAACAAAACAAAAGGGACAATTTTGAATATTCGCAGCAAGTCACAAAGTATTGTCAATGATGAGCCCAACTTGATTGTATTTCTTAGCACCAGTCCTATGTCACCTTTTGGGTAAGTAAGTGTTTAATTACCAAAACAAGAATATACAATCAAGTTCAAGACACTGTCCAAATGGCTTGTGTAGACGTAGACAAGGTCGGGCAGGCCAAAAACCTCACAACAGGGAAAACGAATAGACTTCGCATAGAAAGCGGTGAGAGGCTAGGAATATAAAGCGAAAACAATTAGACCTAATCATGGGGGTTGCCATGATTGAATCATCAACTCTACATTTGAGTCAATGTGTCATGAACATACGCTTGCTAGTACTCTGCAGCTTACGGAACAATTTTGTCGAACTCTCTACATTTGTTGTTGAACACCTAATCATGGTTTTCCTAATAAACCAGCAGATACAAGCCAACAGATCTATAATTTCTGCCCTTTCTGGTCCCTTGATCAAATCCCCCATATTCTTCCACCTACTTGCAAACTCAATATTCCAAGAGATTTTCATGTACGATCCAAAATGGCAACAACTACCAAACCTTCATCAATGCTCTAGGACATCTTAAAATCAGATGGATAACAGTTTCAGGCTCAAGTCCACATACTGCACACATTTCGCCAAATGGAACTTTCCTTTGAGTTATTTCCAGATGAACATTCTTTATTTTATCTTAGAGTCTTCCAATTCACCGGTTGTCCATCACTGCCACTAGCTCTGTTGATATGATAATGTTTTGGCAACAACATACACTGATCTAACGGAGAAGAACCCATTAAGAATCACTGCATCCCTTTGTAATTTTTTTTTTTCCTACTCTCACAATGTCAACTTTCTATTCATTTTTTTCTTCATCAATAAAATCAGCAACTTTAGATACCAGGCAATCATTGGGCATCCTAGTTATGGTTCAAGGGTTATAAGGATCAGATTGCCAAGGTCTGACCAAATCTGAGCTTCTTTTCCCATTAAAAACTCTATACCGCCAACCAGCTTCAATAACTTTCCTCCCCTCCAACAACCCATGCCAAACCCAAGATGAATTACTCATCGCCTTTCCCTCCATAAAGGAGCCATTAGGGAAAATTTAGCTCTATAAACCCTCTGAAAGAGTGATCCACGGCTATTACCTAAATAATTAAATAGCTCTAAATTGTGCCAAAAGTAGTCCCATATTGTCCAAGTCAAAAAAAAAAAAAAAGAACAAAGAAAACTCGGCTTCAATATTCATCACATGACAAAATAAATAATTAGTTAAAAATAAACTAGTAGACAAATAAATTATCTATATCTCACCAATTTTTTCCTCACCATGTTATGGATTCAAGGGATACATGGTAAACTATTATTCAGCTTCATTATTTATTTAATACTTCTTTTTAAACAAGGAACCAGTCGTGAGTATCTATGTAAGTGGTGATACAAAACAATCATAAATTTCAAAACCCAAGAAAACTATAAATTTCCCAATTGGGTTTCTAGAATCAATGCCCCCCTTTGAAAGCTTAAATATCTTTACTACCACCATCCCTCCTAAAGCTCTATAATTATGTTTACATTATCTAATTATTAAATTCTGATATGTTTAATTTCCAGCCAATGAAAAGCCAACTTTGTTAATGGGGTTTTTACCAGCTCAATTGCATTGTTCAGTTTATGTTGGGGAATAAGTACATATATGTTTATGTTAGTACTGCATCACATAATATAAATAATAATTATGCAAGACAAGTGAAATTCTACCTCAATTAATTGTGGAAACAAAAACACATTTTAACTCTGCACAAGTTCAACATTAGAGTATGGTCATACCAAATTGAAGGAAACTGCACGAGTTCAACATTAGACAATTCATGCTTGTGATAGTGTATCCACAATTGCAGTGGGAATGATCCACTTCCAGCTGTGTTCCTCATTAGTCTGCAAACTAAATCACAGTACATAGGATTTTTCAAACACCTCTTTGCTCTATAGGATAAGTATAACGATCCACTTCCAGCAGTGTTCCTCATTTTCCTGCTAATCATAATACAGAGGTTTTTTCAAACATCTCTTCGCTATATAGGATAAGTATTATAAGCTAGTACAATAGTATGAGAAGCGAGAAGACAAGATCTAAGTGCACTCCTTGTTTTATTTACTCTTACTGCGAGAAAGTAGGGCCTCTTCTTCATTTTAAAAAGTGATCATTAGCATAACATAAACATTATACTTGTAACTCAAGGCATTAAGGCCTTGCTTAAATAAATCTGCAACATTAATCCCATACAATAGTTTATTTGTGACGTATAACATATATACCACTTGATACCGCACCATTTTGAATAAACTTGTCCATAACCTTCAGCAAGATAGAATATAAAAAATGCTGTATGTCATTAGTCAAAAACTAAACCCAGAGATTTAAGTGTAGGAGGTAGATCCAGACACAAGTTTTTTGTTAGTAATAACAGTAATACTATAGCAATTTTTAAGTGTTGCTTATACATTGTTTTTTCTCAGAAATGATAGATATTCTAATTTCCATTGGAGGAAAAGTCGCAGCATTATTGGTGGAGCCAGTTGGGCGCCAGATCAGTTATGTGATTCACAGAAAGAAATACATAGAAAATTTGACAATCCAAGTTCAAATTTTAGAGGCTCTACGAATTGAAGTGCAGAGATCCATTGTTCATGCAAAAAATAATAGAGACGAAATTCGAGAAGATGTCAACCACTGGACTACAAAAGTTGATGGGTTCATAGTGGAGGCTAAAAAATTTCTGCAAGGCGGTTCCAACGTGAACAAGAAATGTTTCAGTGGGTGGTTTCCTGATTTGGTCACACGTTGCCGGCTAGGTAAAGAGGCAAAGGACACTAAATTTCTTGGACAGTTAAAGACGCTTGAAGTCCTTAGCTTCAGGCATGCCTTCTTTTCTGAGGCACCAAATGCTATAAGGGAGTTAGCTAATCTAAGGTTGTTGGACATGACTGAAAGCCGTCATGAATTTCCGATTCCGGCCACAATGGTATTGCCTTTATTCCATTTGGAGGAGTTGTACTTGTTTGGCATCACATCTTCGAGTATCGGATACCCTGCAGTGGAAGTAGTTGCTGCACTAAGATCTTTGCCTCGCCTAAAAATGCTAACCATTTCCATACCTGACATTGCGGATATACCCAAGGACTTTGTTTTTCCTGAGCTGGAAAGTTTTATTATTTTTATTGGAAAATTGAGTTCTTGGGAGAGGGTTGCAAATTACTCCCCAAATTATTTGGGACTTGCAAATTTGGTTGGAACCATGGTTAATTGGAGTAAATGGCTAAAGATGGTGTTGAAGAGAGTTACACGTCTGAGGATTGAAGATTGTTCTGAATTGGAATACTTGATCAACACAGAGGAATGGGGGATTTCATCACAGGCACAACCACGTGATCTGCAATTCCTCTTCAACCTGGAAGAATTGGAACTCTCTTATTTGCCTATTTTCAAAGGGATATGCGCAGCAAGTGCACTTACTACTTCCAGCTGGGTGTGCTTCCCAAAGCTCAGGAGATTGGATGTTGGGTTTTGTCCTTCACTATCAACTGTTTTTCTTCCATTCAATTTGCTTCAAAGGCTACAACATTTGGATCTTTCGGTAGTAGAATGCGAGAAATTGGAACAAGTATTTGATTTTGGTTCTGAAGGAGAAGGCATGAAGCTGCTTTCTAGTTTGAGAGAGATATATCTATGCAAGTTGCCTAGATTGAAGCATATATTGAACTGCTCCAGTCGTCAACATGTGCAACTCGGCAACCTAAGATCTATGGAAGTCCATTCATGTGGCAAACTGAAATATGTCTTCCAACCTTCCATAGCTCAAGCTCTTCATCAACTTGAATTTCTTTTGGTAATTGGCTGTGAAGAAATGGAGGAAATTGTTGCTGCGAAGCAAAATGAAGGGCAACAACAAGAAGAAGAGAGAGTGGACTACAAGATGGTGTTCAAAAGTCTCAAAAATCTCGCCCTTAGGCATCTTCCAAACCTAAGTGGTTTCTGCACAGGAGGAGACGACTTTCGTTTTGAATGGCCATCCTTGGAACGACTTGAAGTGGTAGACTGCCTCAAAATGAAGACTTTCGCTGCCACTACTTCCGGCAGCACACCAAAACTGAAGGAAGTTAGATTGGGATTGTTTGTATCCGGGATACCGCTACAGGGGATGGACTTGAATCAGTTTGTGCAAACCCATATACATCATTTCAAAGCCACCTAACTAAGGTACTTCTCTATTTTACCACATTTAAAGGCAATGTTTTTTCTAAATAAATTTAATTAAATTAAATTGGGTCCTTGACTAATAAACTAGTAAATCAATGGACTATATATATTTATTGTACATAATTACAGATCTACCTTCCTGAGGTCTTGGAATGTCCAAAGCTCCAAATATTACTATTACAAGACAATGGAAATGCATGGTCATGTTCACATGAATTCTTTTCAAGGATGAAGGCACTGAGTGTTTTAGATTTGAGCCAACTTGGCCACAATTTTGACAATTTAATTCGTAGTCCTGATGCTTTCAATAACCAAATGTGTCTTCGAACATTAGTTCTTGACGGAATTAAGTTTGGGGACACTGAATTTCTTGGACAGTTAAAGACGCTTGAAGTCCTTAGCTTCAGGCATGCCTTCTTTTCTGAGGCACCAAATGCTATAAGGGAGTTAACTAATCTAAGGTTGTTGGACATGACTGAAAGCCGTCATGAATTTCCAATTCCGGCCACAATGGTATTGCCTTTATTCCATTTGGAGGAGTTGTACTTGTTTGGCATCACATCTTCGAGTATCGGATACCTTGCAGTGGAAGTAGTTGCTGCACTAAGATCTTTGCCTCGCCTAAAAATGCTAACCATTTCCATACCTGACATTGCGGATATACCCAAGGACTTTGTTTTTCCTGAGCTGGAAAGTTTTATTATTTTTATTGGAAAATCGAGTTCTTGGGTGAGGGTTGAAAATTACTCCCCAAATTATTTGGGACTTGGAAATTTGGTTGGAACCATGGTTAATTGGAGTAAATGGCTAAAGATGGTGTTGAAGAGAGCTACACGTCTGAAGATTGAATATTGTTCTGAATTGAAAATAAGTTGTTTGATATATATAAAATCAAATTTAAAATCTATTATTTCAAATTGTATATTTTAATTTTTATATTGTGATGGTGATGGTGGCAACGGCGGCGGCGGCACTGGCATGGTGGTAGTGGTGGTAACAATAGTGATTGTAGTGGTAATAAAATGATGATAGTACTTATAACAACAATAACAATAGTGATGAAAGTGGTGGTAGTGATAGTGGTAAATTTTAGTATAAGGACCTTTGGACAATGAATGTTTTTTAGGCCTCTGGATAAATATGGAAGAGATCTAGTGGATTGAGATAATGCCTTCTTAAATAAAGAAGAAAAAAGAAAATGTTAACACTCAATTTCTTTTTTTCTTTTGTTTTTATGCATTTTGATAAATTTTATATTAAATTTTGATTAGAAATTTTTCTTATTCTTTTTTGTTTTGGTTTCAAGTTGCCGAATTCCAATAATGAGACCTTAGGCCATTAAGTCAAATGTGTGTAGTGTATTTGATAAAATTAAAAACTAAAAATTGAAAATTAAATATTAAAAATTGAATATTGAATATTGAATTTTTTAAATTAAAAAATTGTTTGATAAAAATTTAAGTGCTAATTAAAAATAAGTTGTTTGATATAATATAAAATCAAATTTAAAATCTATTATTTCAAATTGTATATTTTAATTTTTATATTGTGATGGTGGTGGTGGCAACGGCGGCGGCGGCAATGGCATGGTGGTAGTGGTGGTAACAATAGTGATTGTAGTGGTAATAAAATGATGATAGTACTTATAACAATAATAACAATAGTGATGAAAGTGGTGGTAGTGATAGTGGTGTAGTGGTGCTGGTGGTAATAGTTGTGGTTGTGATGATAGTGGTGGTGGTGGTAGCGATGGTGATGACGGTAGTGGTGGTGGTAGCGATGGTGATGACGGTAGTGGTGGTGGTGAGTTTATAACATTGTATATCAATATTTATGTTTAGTTTTATAAATTCAGTCATAATTAAGTAAATTTCATATGATTTAAAATTTTCTTTTAAGTTTTAGCTTATATTTTAAAAGACACTTTTAATTTTTAAGTGATATCAATTATGATTATCTAATGGGCTTAATTGATTATCATTTAATACATTCAGTTTTAAGTGTTAAATTTCGTTATCAAACACCCCCTACAAGTTTATTTATATTAAATATTTTATTTTTCCTAAGACCAAACAAAAATAAATAAATAAATGTATATACAATCAATCAAAAAGTGATAGATGCCATGACTTGGAGTAAGGATAAAAAGTGTTATTCGCCAAAAAGTGAAAGAGGAGAAGAATGCCTACTTGCTATCTCTTTTAGAAAAATCTATGGTCCTTCTGCATTGTGTAAGATCTTTATTCAATCAATAAGTAATTTAAAAATGATGTGAGTTTTCATTATAAATTTTACTACATTAGGAATAAATAAAATTAATTGGCCTTTCAATCTGCATATTTTCTTTGAGGCCCATTCAACATACACTTGATAGATTTGTCAGCCTATGAACTCATGCATAGGTTGTTTAAATATCTTATTTTCCATCCACAGACAATATTATCAAGTTTCTCACATTTTTTTTTGGTTGTCATTATGAATGTTTCCTATCATAATCTTTCCTAACTTTTTTTTTTTTTTTTGCAGGCAGCTCCTGAAAATGAAATCTAATTGTGAACCAAATTATGAATTTATGAGGAATAAGTGGCCAATTCATGAGTAAGTGGCCAATTCATGATTTACATCAAGCTATACCCAAAAACCATACAATTCTTATTTGAAAGGAATTTTCTATTACAGAAAAATAGATGTGTTTTGTGAATTATTTTTTGAATACTTTTTTCAAAAAAAATTTCTAAAACCTATCTCATTTTTTAGGAAACAACAAAAATTTATTTCCAAAATTTCAAAAGCTCTTTTTTGTGCAAAAATGAAAACAATATGAACGCAATGGTGGTTTTGAAATTTTCATTTTTTTGTTTCCAAAAATAAAAAATAAAAAAACAAAAAAGCAAACATTATATGTAGCAAAATATAGATATTACTGCTAGATTATTATTGAGTTTTCATTTTCTTTTTGCAGTTGTCAACCATAAAGAATGTTGAGCTGTTCCCTATGGTTATGTGATGTCTACCTTAGGATTTTATTGTGTAAGGGCATACGCTTCCTATGATTTGTGTTTCTAAATAATTGTCTTGCTTTGCAATATCAAAACTACTACTCTAAATAAAGGTACGTTTACCTAATGTGTGCTAAAGATTTGAAGAGTGAATAAAGGGGAAAAAAAGAGTACCCAACGTGTGTAATTTTACTTTTTCTGCGTTGTAATGGAGTTTATATTCAAAATTATTTATCTGAATTAACAATATTATAAGTTTGTTTTCATGCTTGTTTGTATCTATGAAAAAAAAAATGCAATTTGCTCTTTACTGAAATGTGATTGACTAGTAATAATTTAGAGTACAAAAATGAATTGTTGCTTGAATTTGTTAAGATGGTCTTGTAATTCATTCGAAAGGGATACTTAGATTTATGTTAGGGAATCCAAAGTGTCTATACTTAGAATTAATACACGTTATTTCAGACACGCATCCACTTCAAGGCTTAAACATATATGGGTTGAATCCACCTGACATATATTAAACACTTTACATTTGTTTTTTTTTCCAATATGGGACCATTTTACTTCAAGAAGTTCCAACAGTCTCTCCCTCAAATGTAAACTTATACAACGGGCAAAGTTTTTGCTCGAGTCTAATTTACTACTCTAACATTGTGTCTTATGCCTTGTAATGAGGTTTGTAAGAAACTCCTCCAGAAAGACAGTTGAACTATCTTATGCAACATTTCAAAAACATAGGATGATTATAAAAACAAAAACATGTGGGAAAGAATGTTTCTTTAGCAATGAATCCTTAGCAATCGATTCTTATATGTATCTCAAGTGAACATGAGGACCAACGATATTGAGGAAATATTAAATGACACACATTAAGAAGACATAGGATCTCCATTTAAAAAAAGAAATCTATTGCATGCCCCTTTTGGAAAGAAGTGCTTTAGTCACTAGGGTAATGTTCAAGTAACTCCTGTATAGTTTATGGTTTATATGTCCAAGTCCAACAAATATTGACATACAACATTTATTCATACATATCAACATCATCAATTAAGGAAAATATTGCAGGCCTTATTTTGAAAGAAGTTCTTAGTCACTATAGAAACATCCAAGCAAATTGAATAGTAACATGTGATCAGTTTTAGTTCTGAATCAATAAAAATCAAAAGATTAGTTCCAAAACGAAACCGGTAAACCCTTGTGAGCATGCTTGTAACTACAAAGGCAACAACTAAGTCTACCTACTATGGAATTTGTTAGCTATCTGAGCTTACTAATTTTATTACTTATTTTCCTTCTCCTAACGGAGAAATCTTCCAAAAGGCTCCCACAAACAAGATATATGTGGAACACCAAAAATTGAGAAAAATTTAAATATAAAAAAAAAAAAAAAAAAAAAAAACATGTACTAAATCCATGAACAAGCTATGTGTGAAACATATCAAATTTTGATAGCATAAAAAACAACTATTGTCCATCGTCAAATTCCTAACTCCAACATTGAGTACAACCTACCTTGTCTTGCCTTGCCACCCACCAAAATATATATATGGTTATTGTAACAAGTAGCTAACATTAAGAGTTAGTCCAATAGATGAGTTACCAAATGTAATATCTAAATTCGAGTTTACTGTTATGTAGCTTCCCCTTCCTCTACCAATTTATGTATATATATATAGTAGTAAGCATCCACTTTACTCCATGTTTTGTTCACAAAGGTCCATCCAAAAGCACATGCCAATTGCCTTCCACTTTCTTTCGTTTTTCTCTCTCTTTTTTTTTATATATTTTTATGAGCAAGAAAATCAAGCTGAGGGAAGTGCAGAAAGAATCAAAGTTAAACCAAACCAGAGAGAGAGAGAGAGAGAACAAAAGTAGAACTCATCATTTCTGCACAACTCAAAAGAGCAACAGAGAAACTTTCCCAAAACTCCCAAATCACTACATGAAAATTGACTTTTACCAATGCTTCAAAAATGCCACTATAGGCTTGAAAAACGCTGCAATAGGTTTTTATGACGTTTAATATTTTTGTCACAGATACGACTGTCGTTATAACTTAGCAACGTTTCAAAAACGTCACAAAATCTTTGACACCCACTTACTTTTCCATCACAATTAATGTTTGACGCAATGATGACATCATTTAGTGGCGTTTTTCGAAAAAACACTACCTCCTCATTTTTACACTTGCCTCAGATATGATGCCATGATGACATCATTTAGTGAAGTTTTTTTTTTTCAAAAAAGGCCTTTTTTGTTGAGAATTTAACTAGGAACAAAGATTGAGAATTAATTAAGAATTTATATCAAAGAACACAGATTGGCTCAAATTTGAATTACAATGCCAAATTGAAGACCATAAAATTCCACCTTATCTCCTTGGAGATTTAACCCTACAACTTTCCAAATCTCAATCGTGTACTATCCAACAGTCTGAATTTTGTTCAAATCACCCCCCCTATTTTGTTGTTCAACTGTGCAAACCAATCTACAATGCAAATCTTTACTTTGCAACCAGCAGAAGTCAGTTTGGGCTATTTTGGAAACTTGGCTAAAAGCCACTTTTTTTGGTTAGTAGCAAAAGCCAAAAGTTGACTTTTTTGGCTTTTTTTTCATTTGGCAAGTTGGTTTTTAGCCAACGGTGAAATTACAATTTTACCCCTCATGGGTCACAATGTGTTACATAGGTTTAGTTGTAAATATTTTAAATAAATAGAGGTAGTTTAGTCATTTTATTATGATTTGACATCATAAACAAATATTAATCAAAAAAGTCAAAAGTCACTTTTTACCAACTTCCTAAATCATTTGTCTAAAAAAGCCAAAAGCTTGGTTAAAAGCCAAAAAATCACTTTTAACCATCTTCCCAAAACAACCCAACAAACCATCTTTGTAACACCATGTTCAAAAATAAAATGAAAATGAGCACACCCGATCAACAAAACTTGATAACACAGTTTGGAAAAGCAATAATTGAGAGAATTTTCAACTTCCACAACAATAAATGAGCACACCTGATCAACAAAACTTGTTACCACAGTCTCTAATAGCTAATTATCCCAAAATTATACACTTGTTAGCAATTTCTATATATCACTTTATTAAAACCAGCATAATTAACTACACACAGAAAAACACTGGCACAAGCTAAACTACTGATAAATCTGCAATGGCTACCCTTATGTTGCTAACAACTTTCTGCATCAATAATAATAATTAAATGCTGGCACAATTTAGAAGAAGTAAAGAAATTGATAAATTGATGATGCCAATTCATCCTCGTCCCAGAGTGTGTATATGTGTAAAGTTTCCATAAACAAAAATAATCCCACACAAACAAAATAAAAAAGAAAAAGTCCTATCACTCACAAGACTACCAATTCTCCGTTAAGGGTAAGTAACCATCTGAACAGTTCAACTTGTTACAACTTTTGATTGAATTCAATGAAAAAGTAACTACTTGACTGCAGATTTTAACAAGAAAACATACACGTCCCATTATATTCAAATTGGAATTCAAGACCCATAAAATGCCCAAACGCAACAATTACACTTAAACCCTCTAAGGGTTTATAGTTAAAGCCCTTATAATCATAAAGATTAAAAAAATTTCAAAATCAAAGCCAAATCCATAGCAGAATCCCAACCCAATTTGCAGAATTTAATCATTAGAACAATAATTACCCAAAAAAAAATAAATAAAATAAAATCAAACCATCACAAATTGAAGCAAGTAGTCCAACAAAAATTAAATATTAGCCAGGTATATGACTAATGTTATTAATGCTAAAAAGGGATTCATTTGAGGCTTACCCAGAATTAGAAAACTTGTTGAGAAGTTGAACCTGGGCGTTTCAGGGATTAGGGATTCATTTGAGGCTTACCCAGAATTAGAAAACTTGTTGAGAAGTTGAACCTGGGCGTTTCAGGGATTTGTGGGTTTTTTGGAGATTTGGGAGACACCTGAAAGAAAAGGAAGGAAAGCAACCCCTTTTGTGGTGGACAATGAAAAAAAAAAAAAGAAAAAAAAAGAACTTTTAGAAAGAGAAAGTTTAGAGAAAGACCAAGAAAGAGAAGAAGCTTTGAGGAGATTGACAACTGTTATGACATTTTGTGTTCTTCCCAATGGGAAATGGACAACCCTTTTCTGGTTGATAATGACAAATCTTTCATATGCAATAAGAAATCCCAAACATCAGTTAATCAAACATTCACATTTATTAGTCCTTTTAACATATCACACTTTGTCTCAACAAGTAGATATCTCTCTACTTATAAAATAAGAAATCCCAAACATTAAAGGTATCCCTTAAACAAAGATTAATGCCCAATCAACTTGAGGCCACTATAGATGAATTTAAAAAAGAAAAAGAAAAAGAAAAAAAACGAAATCAGTCACACTGCAGTCACTATTACCTCCCCAAGGCCAAGTCCAACCACATGTTTGGTCATTAACCTAGCAGTCACACTGCTGCAGAGAGAATAAACAACAAAGAAATCAGCCACTTGTTCTTTTTTGCTATGATATTAATAACCAAGAGAGTAACTTGATAAGATTCTTACAACATTTTTTTCTTCTCCACATCACCAAATTACAGAGGATCTCAAGCTGAAAGAAAAATAGACAATGAAACAAAGTATGAGTGAGTATGCAATACAATAAAAACCAACCATGTTCCTGTTCAGTAAAGCATTAATAGAAATGATATTCCCATTCTCTTGTAAACTTATCACTCTATTTTTTGTCTTTTAGCCTCTCACAAGTGGAGTGTGAATATCATTGCTCTACCTTATATTCAATAAAAAAAATCAAATATTGTATATCTAACAATCATGAATACTGTCAAGAATATAGCTGTCCAGAATAGATACACCTCAAACATATGACCCTTTTCTTATTTGACTGGCCATCTTCATACTTCCCATTTTCAAAAATTTCAACGAATATACTTTGTGAAATTTGATATTTTGTTAACCATCTCATCAAAATCAAATTTTGATATGAACCACACATCCAAAATAACATTTGAATTCTGAACTGAAACATGATATAAACTCCCAAGCATGAATTGTATCAAACTATACTAGTGACAAGCATAAAGCATATTATATGGACTGCAGAAGTACCATGATTAAATAGAACAAACTTTAGGCCACCAAAGGGTGTCTTTTCCCCCTTTTTTGATGGACCATGATCTAGGTAACTCAACAAAAAATAAAAAATAAACCAAGAGTTGAATGACCAATGTTAGAAACCACAAAACACTTTAAGATGCAGAATGATCTTTTTGAGATAATCTTTTATAGCTTCACAAAATAAAAAGCCAGATCATCTACATATAGTTGGTTGCTATTGGTGCAAATCACATTTTTTCTTTCCAAGCAATGACAAATAGTAGTTTATCAATTTAAATGGGAACTACAATGAAACAATTATTAGGAGAGTCAAAAAGCAAGAAAATGCCAGAATGAGATTCCTAAAAAAGGTAAAATAATAGACTACAGAGACAGAGAAGATCTGATATTACCATATTAGCAGATCAGAGAGAGAAAGCAGATCTGATCGAAGAGAGGGCAGATCTACATCTCTTCATCGATCAGCTTCTATTCACTGTTTCCAACAATCCACATAAAAAAATCAAACAAATATCTTCCATGAGTTTACTTCATAAAAATTGCAGCAACAGTTACCGCATAAAGAAACATGGAATCAATACAACAATTAGTGGCAAATTCACAACCAAACCAAAAATTTCAACAAAAAAATTTCAAAAACTCTAACATACACTATCAAAAACATCAATACTAAAAAAAGCCTAAGCCTGGATATGCATTGAACATACAAAGCAAGTTTCAGGAGAGAGAGAATGAAGCTCATTACCTTTATGCCAAAGTGTAGTGCCGAAATGAAAGTAGAACAGATCTAAATCTCAAAGAGAGAAATCTCGAAGAGAGAAACAGATATTTATAAGCAAAAAGAGAGTGTGACTCACAAAAATCAATCAAAGGATTAATCGAAATAGATCTGAACGAAAACAATCGATCGATCAATTGATTGAAAGACAATTTTGACAGGGGCTGATCACAGATCTGTGTTCTCGGATGTATACAATCTAAAAATAAAAAATTAAATTAAAAAAAGAGATAGATAAACGAATTAAATACTCACAAAATCGAAAGAGAGAATCACAAATCTGAACAATCAACCTTCAAATCTGCAAGAATCAACCTTCAAATCATTGACAACCTTCATGGATGAGAGAGAGAGAGAGAGAGAGAGAGAGAGAGAAACGTAGATCATTCAACCGAGAGTGACTGATGGCTTTCAACCTCCAGAGCCTTCACAATATCTTCTGTTCAAACTCAATATCGAGGAAACTAATGGTATGTTTGGTTTGTGTTTGGTATGTTTGGTTTGTGTTTGAGAGATGTGTTTTAGAAATAAAAAGTACGAAAAGTTGTTTGGTTTGGTTTTTTTCAAAAGATGTTTTGGAAAATTATTTTGAGAGAAAGTTTTGAAAAAATTGATTGATTTGATATGTGTGTGAGAGAGATTTGTTTGGAAAACTTGTTTGGTTTACAAGTTTTGAGAAATTTTTTTGGGAAAATTTATTTGGTTTGATTACTTTTAAAAACTTATTTGTAGAGAAAATTTCCCAAAATTTTTTCAGAAATACAAACCAAACGAACCCTAAGAGTTTCTGAACATGGTGGTTGTAGAGAGAGGGTTTTGAAAAGGGGATCTGAGTTTCAGAGAGTCTGGAGTGAGATGTTTTTGAAAGGTTTCAAACGGCGAGTAGGTTTTAATATGAACCAGCGTGATCACTACATAGCTAAGTGACGTTGTCTGACCTAGATGTAAGACAACGTTTACACAACGTTTTATAAACACCGTGCAAAGTACTTTTTCTTGTAGTGTCAAGAACAACCCTCAGCCTTAAAAAGCAACAACACAACCTTATGAGTTATCACCAAGGATCCTCTAGAGTGAAATTTTCCTAAAGTTTCCTAGAGTGTTACATTGTGTGGTTGAGATTTACTGGCAAGTCACATCAGAAAAATTGATGTGACTTGCCAGTAAATCTCAACCACACAATGTAGCACTCTAGGAAACTTTAGGAAAAAATCACTCTAGAGGATCCTTGCTCATGAGTTATAACTTAAAGCTTCCCATAGCAATAAAAATATTCTTCATGAAAGAAAGACCTCCCTAGCCAGCAAAACAGCAACCCTACACCACCAGCAACATCAAAGAACATATCAGCAGCAACAACAAGAACAATAAAAAAGAGCCAAGCCCCTTCGCACCTCAACCATCTTATCACTTCAATGTCTGTCAAGGCAGCTTTGAAAGAAGCTTCAGTTTGAGTTTCCTGATCCCGTCAAGTTAGGTGATAATACCAGACACTGGGTAATTGCCAATAACAAAACAAGCTTGCCCAAAGAGCGAAACACAAGTATACTAGGTGAATCACGTCATGAACATGCTGGTCTGAGTGGTTAAAGACAGTAGCATTTTGAGCTAACCTGATAACCATGTAGAAGAGGGCCACCCAAAGTCGTTTCTCAAGGTTCCGAAAAGGAGGATCAAACCACCACATAAAAATATCAAAGAGAGAGGCAGGGCAGACCGAACAAACACCACCTGCACCAGTTTAAACAACAAGATCAGCGTTCCCAAGCGAACTGACAGTGAATGAAGATATGGTATACAGATTTGACAAATCTCAAACACATTGAACAAAGAGCTTAAAACTCATTTAGGATTACCCCTGTTAGCTAAAAATTTCCTGAGAGGCTACTTTACCTAGAATAGCTTGCCAACAAAATATTTTGACTTTGAATGTGCGAAGATTATTCTAGAAAAGAAATGCGAATTGAGAGGAGAAACCTCAAAACCAGAAGATAAATTTTCACAGACATCATAAAAAGATCTAATCGAATAGGTTTCATTATTTTTATCCCACTTTCATTGCAGCTTATCCTCCATGTCAAGAGTCAAGCAAAGCGAATTAAGTATTCATTAAATTATCCAAAAGGACATGCTCCCAAACAAATAAACTCCTCCTGAATTGCAAACACCACTTGTTCAAGCTTCCATCGAACAAAAGAACATCATTAACCATAACAGATTTCTAAGACAAAATCGAGAATAGTCTAGGAAACTCATCTTTCAAATACCATGCCAAAACATAACTTGACGTAAACCCCTGAACCAATCATAATAGAGAATCCCTCTTGAAAAATATTCCTATTTGCAATGCAAAGACATACTTGAGATCTACCAACATTAAGGTCTTATTTGATAACCTGGTAAGAGTAGGGATTGGATTGGTAATTTGATAAGTTCCACACAGTTGGTGTTTAGTTGCACACCAAAAAAAAAAAAAAAAGGCATGGATAAACAATCCCATTAAAACAATAAATTCCCAAAAATGCACATATTAGGAATACCATGGGATAAATTTGTCCCATGAGAATGTGTGGCAGAAGACAATTTTGCCTATGCAATATATAAACAATAAAATCAACTTTTAAGTAATGAGGTCTTACATGAAATTTCATATATTTAATCCAGACAGGGTTGTATTTTTGGTTGAAATGGGATGGTGTTCAAATTCTATAAAGGACGGGCTGTTCAACTTTGAAAACTTAGCTAAGCTCAAGGCCAATGGTATTCTATTGTACAGCTACTTAATCTTAATAGTACAACAACTATTGTCTTTGTATTGAAGTAGCAAGGAAATCTTCAGCTCCCCTTGTTAGCATAAATGCGGTCTGTTTTTGTTTGCATTCATTACAAAGTAAACTAAGCCTAACTAATCACGACATAATGCAACCAACAAGCTGTATACATGGTCTTGAGAAGTAGGTTCATTCCTGTCAATAGCAAGAGCCCTCAAGTCTGCTTTAGGTCTAGATTGATTTTCCTGATAGTTCTTGCTCCAGCATGGAAGTTCCATTTTAGGGAAGGATGACATACCATGATACTTTTTGTTTTAACTTGTATGTAGGGCATCTGTTCAATATAAATTAAGACCCTTTCCTCTGATTGGTTACTCCTCTGGGGCATAGCTCAACCATCATTCACCTTCTCTCTCCACTTGTTCTCTCTTCATCATCTCTCCTTTTCAACAGTTTTTCTCTCTCCCCCTCATCATTTGTCTTTCTCCTTTCTACTCAGACCACAACTAAGAAAGTTTTTTAAAACTTCAAAAACCAAATGAAGTTTCTACTTTGGAAAACGGTATATAATGAAAACCCACCTATAATCGCTCGCCATTAGTGAACGCAAAATTGAATTATAAAATGGCCACGTAAAAATCTCAATACTCACAATTTTTTTTCTTGACAAAATGTCCCAAGGACTTCACATTTTCAAGAGAAAAAAAGCCTATTTCTCATCCTATGACCTAAACAAGCCTTACTGAATTTCAAAGACTCCAAAAACAAAAACCAAAAAGAAGCTCCAATTGCTTAAAGACGTATTAAGAACCCCAAAAATTTTTGAAAAACTTACGTTTTTAGTCAAAAATCTTCAAGAGCAAGACGAACAATATCATTTTATCATCAATTCCTATATTATCAAAATCATCGGTGTAAAAAAGGGTGAGAGAGAAAAATGGCAGGGAGAGAGAAAGCAGTGAGGTAAAAAAGTGATGTGAAATGAGGAGATGATGCAAGGGAAAAAATTTCAAATGACAACAATTGTCGTCTCGTCGCACAATAAGAAGATAATGTGTCATTATAGTCATTTGACACCCATGTTTTTCCATTTCTTCTTCTTCTTCCTTTAAAAAGAAAAAAATGCCCGATGACAAGGTGATTAATGGCATTTTTGAACACTAGAATTATGACTCTTGTTTTAATGAACATAACAAATTTTAGTGTACAAATAGTTTTATAATTAAGTTTGGACCTTTGTTGCTGCTCATTGGAAATAGAGCCTCTTTTGGAAGGAAGTGCTGTAGTCACTATGGAAACGTCCAAGCAACTTTTTTGTAGTTTACATGTCCAGCGAATATTAACGACAACATCTATTCATATCAACATCATTAATTACGGAAAACATTGCAGGTCCTTTTCAGAAGGCAGTGCTTTAATCACTATGAAAATGTCAAAGCAACTCCATTATATAGCTTATATGCCCAACAAATATTGACAACATCTATTCATGTCAACATCATCAACTAAAGAAAACAAAAAGAAAATGACAAGCAAGATTGTAACTACAAAGACAACAAGTATCTACAAAAAGAAAATGACAAAGCAAGATTGTAACTACAAAGACAACAAGGGCCAATCTCTCTCTCTCTCTCTCTCTCTCTCTCTCTCTTTCTCTACAAAAAGAAAGTGACGAAGCAAACAAGGGCCAATCTCTCTCCTTTGTTTAGGTAAAAGTAGGGTCGTCCTTAACACCTCAAAATTGCCCAATTAAGTATAGTCTTCCACCATCTTAAAGTTTCAAAACCAATATACCACTCTCTCTATTTCCATCAGCCATGGAATTTGTTAACTATTT